AACTCTAAGTCATATGCCAAAACCCACCTGAGACTTTGATGAGTGCCTGCTATCAGGAGAATGAGCAAAACTGTGAGCTCTAGAGTCCAGTAGTGTGATGCCGGTGGTGTTGCCCAGATCAGAAAGTGACTTACTAGTGGCTACAACAAAGAGCGCTCTTTGACGAGATGATGAGTCCGAATTGACAGATTCCAGGCGTTGCGAGGTGATGGGCAGACTATCTGTAGCCTGATTTTCGGAATTGATAGATGAACTAGGATACAAAGAGCCCAACTCCGACCAGAACCGGCGAAGCAATGAATGGCGCCCAAAGGCAAACTGCAGGAGCTAGGGATACATAGAAAAAAAGAATTGCAATGGCCAGCTGTGGCAATATTGCGTTACGTGGCACATTCAAAACCCCCGGAAAAATGCCAACAAGTGAAAGTGGAAAATAAGTAATTATTTCTCTCGTATGGCGTTATAAACAGGAGCACCCATATGGTAAGTTCTTTGCAGCTTTGACTGAGGATTAAAATATTGGTGGAGAGACATAATACGCTGATAAAGGACATGTTGCTGAAATGACGTTTAATTAATCTGAAGATGCGACGAAAATATCAGTAGTAGTTATAGAGGCTTTGGTTTAGTCGAAGTTTCTATCTTAGCTTCTCCCTCAAAGATAACCTTATTGTGTCTAAGATTGATAATGCTTTGTACATTTAAGAGGTTTTTGTTGTGATATAATATTTTAAAGGGAAGACAAGCTCTTTAGGATAGAGCACACATCAAAAGCGTTCATTATTGCTAGTATGAGAAGTTTAATGTGAAATCTCGAATTTACGGTGAAGATGAATTTGGAAGTAAAAGTTCTAAACTGGAAGGTGGCATTCCATAGATAGAGTTCTAAGCAAAGCTACAACAAGCACTGCGAGAGTGTACGGAAAGAGGAATGCTGAACAACTAAAAGCTATGCGCATCCAAAGAAATAAAATAGTTTAATGAATTGAGACGTATATCCCATATCAAATGGATGATGGAAGCGTTGAGAAATGATTTGCTGCATGTGCTGAGTTGCCATTCACGCTAAAAACAGTAAATAGTGGTGAAAAGTATGTAGGAGAGTTAAGGGGAAATATATTAAGAATGATGCTTTAACGAAGATGCCTAACTGTCATAAGCACGAAAAATGTGACTTCATGCAAAATCATGCAGCGACTCTGGTAAAAATGTCGTGAAGTGAATGGCACAGTATGCATT